ACTTCTCTTTCCCGGGAGCGCCAGAACTCCTCTCACTGCTAGAAACATGGACGCCTAGAGTGCATGAGGATTTAAGTTCATGGAGCGGGTACTGCCAATGCGAGGTTATCAAAAAGCTTTGCCGTGACGCGTCTCATGTGTTGGGCCGAGGCTCATGTGTTGGGCAGTCGCGGAGTGCGGGTAAAGTGTACATCCACTGCAGTGTGAGTAAACCAAATCTATTCGAATAGCCGTGCTCGCGGTTATTGAGCACCGGGACATGTATTATACTTGGCTAGACTCTAAATTCTTTAACTTGTGTGGGATGGGATATTGCATGATGATTTTTATGCTGACGGAGCCACTTCCTGAGAGGCGGGAATGTGGACGTCCTCAGAAAACCATAACGATTCAATGGCGGGAAGCTATCCTTGGGATCACAATGGATGGTGGACAGAACCGTCATTGTTTAATATGAACACTGGTATTAAAACTTGATCAATCTATGCTAGGTCTTAGGCTTGTGAAAAGAATTACAAAATTTGCTTTGCGCAAAAGAACCATAGCCATCCTTTGAATTCCTCTGTCATGTGCATCATTGCTGTGGTGGCTTGCTGAGTACGGTTGGTACTCATCCTTGCAAATATAAAATTTATCAGAAGCGGAAGATGAAGCCTCGGAGGATCCCTATGCCTACTATCAGGAGGGAGATGAAGACGAAGGCGTCCAGTAGGTCTTAGTACGGTCGTTGCCTGTGGCAATGGCATGCCGCTGCCTGAATTCCGTTGCCTTATCTATTTCTGCTTTTGGATGTATTCCGGACCGCTCGGTCCGATGATTTAAGACTATGCCTGCGGGCCTATAATGTAATAATTCGTATTAGACACTCGTGTATGTGCACTTGGTATTCCAGCTATGAATCCGTGTGTACCAAACTACTTGATCCAGGGAAATGGTACTGTTTACACGATTGACTCCTGTTATAAAAACGGGGGTCTACACGTGGCATCAGAAGTCAAGAGACAATTCAAGCCTCGAAGTCCAGAAAAGAAGATTCCTATAGACCCGAGTGTCATGAACTTCTTCAGGGGTATGTCTGCACCTGCCAAGGAGGCCATTAAGCTATCGGACTATGAGCGAACGCTGAAGAAAGCATCTTCTGGAAAGTCTAAACCAGTCCCTCAGCTTGGAGAGCAACCAAACCAGGAGATCGAGCCATTGGTGACCGGTAAAGAAATGACGATAGAAGAATTTATTACTGACACCGGTCTAACTACGGATCAATTGCTAGGAGTCGCACCAATCGAAAAGGCGGAAGTGAAATACATGTACGAACTCGGTAAACCGCTTGTCAAGCCTGAGCTGCTGCAGTCCCTACCCACACAAATGTACAAGTTCCATCAGCTGTACATGGAGATGAGCGCCACCGGTAGAGAGATGATCGGAGCGAGGATCAGGGACACGGACTTCTTGCAAGGAGATGACATTCTCTGGATCAATTTCAAGGGAATCTACGAACTATACCAGCTGGACGCCCTCGACGTCTCTATTATGAGTTGCTGGATTTTGTAAGTATATCGTTCAGTTAGATTTCTTACTGCGTCTCCTTTAATTAATTAGGTCCTTGTATATAAGTAGACTATAGAAAATAATATACTCCCTTTTATCGTTGTAGAATGGAGATTCAAAGGGCCCGACGGCGGGGGGTTTTCGATACTGGATTCATCGACCCTCGGAAAGTAAACGTCGCAATGCTCGACCAATATCCGCAAGCCACAGAGGACAATCTCGTCCATCTCCTGAAGGCGCAGCATTACAAGACGTTCATACTGTTGCCGTACAACACAGAGTTAGTTTAATTTTACTGTCTTCCTATACCAAATTTCATTCCCGTACGAACTTGCTAAGTGTTTCATATGTAATGCATCCCACGCACATTGCAGATTCCACTGGGTGCTTTTACTCTTCGACCTGTCGGCCTGCACTGTCAACATATATGACTCAATGGATAAAAAAGAGTCTACGTTTGACAAGGTTTTCGAACTTATAGACAGGTACCGTCATAAGTTCCTCTGTTAATTAAGAAAATCTTGTTATGTTAATTGCTACTACGAATCATAGCTTTAAACTCCATGTAGGGCTTGGTATCGGTTCCGTCATTTGGTCCGCGGCAAATGGAGAGAAAGACTTAGGCGGAAGTTCAAATTTCCTGTGAGTACACATGCTCTACATTTATATTTTTCCGATTCAAATACATACAAGTGTATATTAATTAGATCTCTCGTTGTTTGTCATTTATTTGTAGTGCGCAAAGCAAAAGAAGGGAACTAACTTGTGCGGCTATTACGTGTGCGAATATTGCCACTGTCTTGCAGACCAAATCATCACCACAAGAGAGCTCAATGTACGTACAAATAAATTCAAAAATTCATTACGTATCGATTTCTTGTTTAATTACTAATCAATTTCATACATTCATATAGTTTATTCGCATGAGGGATAACCTGACCATGCACAAAGGAATTTATCGCGGCGGTTCAACAACAACTCATGGGATTCATCAACGAACAAATCCTTGATCCCAAGGGTGAATTCTACGACGGAAACACAATTCATAGGTCCTTAGCTTCTGAGCTAGCGACTACTACTACGTCGAAATCGTAGCTAGCTAGGACATACAATGGATTGTAATTAATACATGACTATATATGTTTCTATATGCATGTGTACACATTTTCTATAATGTAAATATATTTTGGTCATACACACACATATGCATTTGCATAACATATATATGTATAAATACATATATATTATGCATGTACATATGTATTGAAACATATATAAATATAATATAATATATATATATATATATGCATATATGTACTGAAACATATATATGCCATGCAGCAACCGGGCCATGAAAAAAAAAAAAGGTCAGCTCGATCTTTAGTCCCGGTTGGTGTAGATCGATCTTTAGTCCCGGTTATTTCACCCGGGACTAAAGATAGCGATCTTTAGTCCCGGATTGGTAGTCCCGGTTTGGAAACCAGGACTAAAAGGGGGTTATGAACCGAGACTACAAAGGGTTTCTCCACCAGTGAAAGATACCAGTTTTGTTTAGATCCGCAATGTTCATCGATCGATGGATCGCTTGCCAGCCGACAACAGTGCATTTTGTAGTGCAGGGACTGCGACGTCGCAGCAGCACTCGATCGATGAGGGTACATGGCGTCGATCAGCAGGTTGCTACTTGTCTTTAGTTTCGCTGGCGCTGTGAAGCGAGCGGCGCAGTCGAGGTCATCAAGTCATCAGCAATGTAGCTAGCTTGGCAGCTTGCTGTTGCTGGCCGGCCAGCTAGCGCAGCGCACAGCATCGATCTCGAAAAGCAATCGAAATTAGTCGCTATTTTTGGGGGCCTCACCGTGTTTTCTTGGAGTGGCCGCGTCCTCAGTTCTCACTAGCTATATATGTGAGTGTGCGTACGTGCCTCACGTTGTGCCAAGAAATACGTGCACTTGTGGGCGAAGCTAGCCGCGAAGGGGAGCGACAGGCTCATATAACGATTCTCCAAACGACGAGTAATTTGAAACGAGTAGTGCTGTACATCCGATCGACTCAATCATCCAACTCACATACGACCGTGCTGAACCAACAACCAATCACAAAAGCTATTATCATTCACATGGGGTTAGCCAAAACCATGTTTATATGCGTCGTGTACGTAGGTCGGACATGCAGGGTCGTACGTATAGTTATTCCGATTTGAAACGATTGGAATATATCGTATGATTAGCTTACAACCTCATCTTTTCACTTAAGTTTATAAAGCTAAAATTTGAATTTTCAATTTTAAAATTACTTAAGTTTATAAAGCTAAAATTTGAATTTTCAATTTTAAAATTGGAGTTGATTTAGGGTTTTTTCATCGTAGTTTATTTTTCAGCCCATAATTTTAAATCACTAAAAACACGTATACTAGAGTTTTATTCATAAACTATTTTTCATTTACAAATATACCGTTTGGAATAATCCAAACGATGACCATGTTAATCTGCTGTTAATCTGTTATGTACTGCTCTCTCTCGCCCGTGTTACGCGGAATCATAATACTCCCTCCGTTTCAAAATGTTTGACGCCGTTGACTTTTTAGCACATGTTTGACCGTTCGTCTTATTCAAAAAATTTAAGTAATTATTAATTCTTTTTCTATCATTTGATTCATTGTTAAATATATTTTGATGTAGGCATATAATTTTACATATTTCACAAAAGTTTTTGAATAAGATAAACGGTCAACCATGTGCTAAAAAGTCAACGGTGTCAAACATTTCGAAACGGAGGGAGCATCATTTACCAATGACTACGGTATACCCATGGTGCTTTTTTTTTACTCTCCCGTTTTAGATGTATCAATAATAATTACACACGCGTAAGTACGATTTTAATAAATTAAATTAGTTAGCCAGGATTTGCCACTTGTATATTTCTCTTTTAGCATGTGTTAGCGGTGGGTGTTTATGTGCCATTGTGTCTTATGTGAACAAAAGAGACTCACAAATATTAATTGCTTTCGAATTTATTAGCATTGCCTTTTTCTCCGTCCAATGTTTATTTTTTGACAAATAAAATATTAAACTTTTTGTGTAGTATACTTTTCTTGATTTTCATTCATAAATCGAAATCGACTTATATTTGAAGTTATGCAGAGTAAGTTATAATCGGGAAAAAAATGTACAAAGGGAAATGAAAATGACTTATAAGAGAGATTAACACTGTTGGGAGTGAATCTACGTTGGCTCATGATTCCCATCGTCCCATTCAGATTGTAGCCAAAATAAACTTTATAAAATTTTGTCAATACTAAAATTTTGGCAAGATGACAATATTGCCAAACTTTTAGCAGGATTTCTTATGTATTTACTAAATTTGGTAACAAACTAAACGTAGACTTTTTTTTTTGCAACTTTACAAATAAAAAAGTACGTGTGAAATCCTCCACGCGACACGCCAGCCGCAACACTTATCGGGCCGTTTATTAATTTGCCACGGGCTGGTCTTGGTTCGCGATACAATGAGGGCCATCTTTAATGGGTCTAAAAGTTTTGTCGGGCCGTTTGTTAATTTTCCCTGCGGCCCATTGCAGTTTGGCCAGCCACATAGCACGCTGGATGGGCTCGGAACAGCGATGCCGGCGGCGAGGTGCTCCTGCCCGGCTGCCCACCGCTGCCCGCTGTTGGCGGCGACGCCCTTCGTGCTTTGTATCTCGCCCTGCACGCATCGATCTTTGGTAACAAGCATGCTTACAGAAAACAATGAAGTGCCGAAGATATACACACACATAAACCTGATCAACAATGGATATGGATGCAGTCTCTGTATTGTGGCATTTACAAACGATTTTGCTATATATTTATTGATAATTTTTCTTCTAAAAATTTTGATAGATAGAAATATAGTACAATCTCAATGTAACTATTTTGTAGTTTGTATGTAACTACTATGTAGTAACTTGCATGCAATTATAATGTGATTTTGAACCGTTCGAAATGATTTAAAATTTGTGCGGGGGTAGGAAAAAATCACAACCCACGCACATGTGAGGGGATTCGGTACCAATGCCTCCGTTTTCACGAAAATAGCATGTCAATTAGAGATTTTTGAAAGTTACACTATAGTTAAATGCAAGTTACAATGTAATTATATTAAGATTGTATTATATTTGCATTTGTCAAAAAAATTTAGTTATAAAATTTGACGACAAATCACAACTGTATAGCTAGTCCCTTTACAAATACTAGTACTATTGTATTCCATTATATATCCACACTATAATTAACGCGTGGGGATAGTACAAGATCTAAGCCACCAATTCGTTCCCCTTACAATGGCCCAATACACGGTGTAGCACGCCAAATGGAGTAGTGCGATGCAGAAATACCTGCATGATTATTCAAAATTTCAAAAGGTTCAAGCATAATCGACTTGAATCCAAATTACCACATGTCTAATGCCCCGATGATAGGTTTGACGTACCATAGTGGAGCCCATGGTGCTGCAGGGTTAAGGAATGGGTACGGCCACCTGCACGTACGTTTTTTCAAAGAAAATTAATATGCAGCTGAAAAATTTTGAAGCCCGAAATAACCTGGTCTTAAGAATTATTAGTACTACTTGAATATTGTGTGTAGCCCATTCCGTTGGTGTCCACTGAAATATTGGATGGTAATAGGACGGTATAGAGAATATTGTTTGTCAAATTGAGAGGATGCAAACTAAAATTTGTTGTTAACTTTTTTTTTACCAAATAGAATCAACCGATGGAATTATTATTTGATCTCACCATTTCAAGCCACAAACATGTACGACCCATTGGATGATTACATACGAGCATGTCCAAAGAACGAAATACGTCATTCTGAACCAAGGGAACTCCTGGGATATATTCAGAAAAGAACGAAATATGTTATTCTGAACGAAATTGCTTGGGCATAAGTTTGTTTAGTTCGATTTTGAGTACCAAGTTGTTAAGAGTAGTCTCTATCAGCAGAAACACAAGGTTGAAAGAGTGAATGCAGCCCATCACCTGCAAAACTGAGGTCAGATGAAAATATGGATATCGATGGAGCATATCTCAATGGTTAGGTTAATTAGTTTCGCAAAAAGAATGTTAAGCCTAATCCTTGTTTTTATTTTCTACACGACTGCACATCTCTAGCTGATATATATGTACACTGACTACTGCAACATACTGTCACTCACTGCATTGAGGCTGAAATGAGAGGAGTACATGAAGGGTACTATCAGAGCCCAGAAGACCACATCCGTCAGCACAACCGCGCCGCCCAAGACCTGAAGACGAAACGCCAGAGAGATTATACGAGTTCCATGGATGATGGATCATCTCCGTGTCACTCCGAAATTGAAGGAGAGGCAAAGGGTCTGATCGGTAGTGCTTGCTGCGGCAGCTGCAGCCAACCAACACAGATCTACACAGAACAGTTGATTTGCAGCAGCATCAACAGGGTGAAGCTGGGCTGCTGCTGCACTGCGGCAGCCAGCACAAACGATCAAGGTTAAAATATATAACTGCTGACCTGGTAGACAATCTGCATGAAGCGCCCCAGCTGGTTCAGTCCAGCTCCTCCCTTCTGATCGGCGCCATGGTTGATCTCCATTAGGCTGCCGCTGAGTCCTACCAAGCTCTCGTCGATCTCGGGTAGCATGGTGACATGGCGGTGGTGCATTGAGTACATGAAGCATCCGTATGCAGAAAAGAGCGTAGCTATCTGCAAGTTCCACGCGTGCATCGATTGAGTCGTACTCGCTCTGTACCAAAAAGAATCCAATTCTAGGGAAGAATTTAGACATACACTATGTCTAGATTTATCTCTAGGATTGGATTTTTTTATGGGACGGATAGAGTACGTGAAAACTTTGCAAAAGAGGTGGAGAAAGTACCACAAAATAGACGATCTCTAGCATGAAGGTCCATCTGCGAGAAGGTTGATGGGACGAAATCAATTCATTTTTACTTGTAAATAAGACTAAATTAAATATTGTTGTCGAGATAGAGAGGTATGGGAAAAGAAAACTACGCGATTTATTGTTGACACTAGACACGTACTCCGTGTAGTACACCATGATGGTGAGGTCGTAGGTCAGCGCGTCCCAGAGTAGCACGCCGGCGAGGGCGACCGCGGCGGCGGCTCTGGACGCGAGTAGCAGCCACGCCGGGCGCACCCCGCTCCAGCGGCTGCTCCACATCGCGGAGGCCCCGGCCGAACCGATCGATGCGGCGGCGGCGTCGTCCACCGCGTGCGGTGGTGACGATCCATCCGACGGCGGTCGCTTGCGGGAGGACAGCATCGCCCAGAGGGACGCCGCGATGGCGCCAGCGACGATGGCGAAACAGAGGGCATAGCTGAGGGTTGCCATAGGAGCTAATTAAGCTGGGTTTAAGCTCAAGGAGATCATGCGAGCGATCGCTCATCAAAGTGATCAAGTGCACACAGCCACACAGGGACTAGTTGCTGGCTTTGCTGCCTTCTTGTCGAGTTACCACTTGACAATTTGACCGGTAGGTGTTGTGTCCGGAGTCCGGACTGGTTGCTGCCGTTGCTTGCAGCAAATAAACGGTGCGCCATCTCGGCCCATGCGGCCCAACTCCAACCAGGCCAGCCGACGCGCGCCGGCCGTAGCATGGCCCAGCCCTCAGGGAGCACCGCGGTCGGTGATGGCCGACGACGAATTCGCAGAGCCCCCGGTCCACACGTTTGCCGTGACGCGTCCCCTGTCCCCTGAATCTGAAGTACTCAAGTCTTTTGCACAACAATCAAACAAGTTTATGTGCCTGGACAAGTTTACCTATGAGAGATCCACACCACACCAAAAAGACAATATTGGTCGCAATATTGTCATACTCTGACTAGGTTTCGGGGTGAACTTGTATATAAATTCATGTATGTAATGTTTCTACGATTTCTTTTGGATTGCAAGGTGACGGCCAGACTTGACTTCGTAAGCATGTTTTGGGGGCGAAAATAACGCTCATTGCAAGCATTACAAATTCAGGTCAGCCTTGTAACACTTCCGAGGTGTACTTCTGATGACCAAGTAGGCAGGTAAATACAACGCGAGTCGATCAAAAGTCAAAGCCATGGGATCTTCAACTCAACTGCGCCGTCGCGCGGTCGCGGAAACTCCTTATCTTTTCAGCCTCGTCAAACAACGCGGCTGCCCCTGTTTTCCTTTCCATCACGGTGATGGCAGCTACCGTGGAGTAGAGCAGAAACCTTTTTCGCCTGTTACTCCTGCTCCATGATTTCTCTGTCGGAATTTGCATAAGATCTCCTATTCTCGTCACAACCCATTCTACATCCAACAGGTTACTGCATATTCCTCTGTTCTAGAGTAGCACGCTACTATGCTACAGAAAGTACTGTCTACATCTAAGGTGGATGCAAACCAAGAGCAGAACACAATGAAGGACAAAAATCCACATTGTCTTCAATCCTTTGGATAGGCAATCTAGCTAAGTCTAATCAAGCAGTATAACCAATTGAACATGACAATAAAGAATAAACTGGAAAGAACAAGTCGACAAATGTACTGCAAATTTTCACTGAGGGGGCACGGTAACAATACATGAACGGGTGAACCCGATAAAGTATATATGTACATCGATGAAGGGGCAAACAACAAAAAAAAAAAAAAAAACGACTCCCTACAAAATTGCTGGCTGTGTGAGAACAGCCGTCATAAGGTATTTACACAGCAGGAAACAAAAAGCCTGCCCATTATCATCATCATCTACTCATTAGGTTCCAGCCATTTCTTCAGGTTGCAAAGGGCCTCTGAAGACAGGCTCTTGCAACATCTAACCCTCCTGATCGGCGCCTGCTCCGAAGACGGTGAACCACCACCGAGCTCAGATCCAAAGCAGATGACTATCACCGTGAGGTTGTCAAAGGTCTGGAGCCTCTTCGCCTCCATGGCAAGCTCCCTCGCGCACCTCTCGGGGTCATCGTGTCGTCGGAGCCCCTTGCGGACTATGGTCACCGCGTGCTGGCTGCTCATGACGTCCCATATCCCATCGCAGCCTATGATGAGGAACTCGTCGTCTTCGGTGAGTGTGGTTTGCTGGAACTCTGGCTCGGCGATGAGAGGCGACCGCGAGCCTTGAGGCATTTTCATGTCCCAATCCCCCAATGCCCTGGTCACAGATAGTACTCCATTGAGGTAGCCATCCTCAATGTATCCCCCACACTCGGTAATCCTTTCATGCTCTGCATCATATGTTGGCCTGTGATCACGAGACATCTCCACAGCTACACCTTTCCGACACAGGACCGCGCGGCAGTCCCCAGCATTCGCGACCAACAGCTGCCTGCACATATGATGGAAACAGAAATGAGCACACATACAAGCATAATGCATGGTGATCTGCAGCATACACAGATATGTATTGCATGTTCACATTACCTTCCAAATATCAAAGCAGCAAGAGCTGTTGTTCCTGATGATCGGCTGATAGCCAAATCGTCAGCGAGAGCAAGGTCTGCGCTCAAGAATGCATTGTGGATAGATTTCTCAACTGATTCATAAAATGATTCATCTTCTTCTAATGCCTGTGGGAACTCAGAATCCTCAAAGAACAGCCTTATAGCATGCCTTTTCATGTAGGCTGCTGCATCTGGACCCCCATGGCCATCAAAGACCTAAAAATACAACGGCGTAATCAACTAATTCGCAGTACAAAATATGATAAAAATCGGTTGAAGCTCTTATTAGTTTCTTGCATACCCCATAGAAGGCATTAGGTGCAGGGCACATCAACAGTGAGCCAAGATGACCAGAAAGATCATCAATTCTGATATGTTCATCTTCCATGTACCGCCTAGGTCCAATATCGGCAAAGCTACCAGATCGAATGTTGGGGGAAAACTGTAGTGATTCCACGGGTGCCTTAACCATCTGCATTAAGCACAAAAAGGAGTTAATTATGGTGACGCTCATCCAAGGTGAACAGCATGCCCTCTTTAGTATGCCGACTAAAAACAGAGACATCCTGCACTATATTTCGTGGGAAACGTTTTCAGCTTTTAAATTCTACACTGCATCTCGTGGAAAATGTTTCCACCTTTTAAGTTAGTCTTGAGTTTCCCACCATCACACCGACCAATCATTCAAATAGTTTTCATCCTTTCTTAGGGATGTTTCATGAAAATATCTAACTGGCTAGATTAACCAAAAAGTTTAGCCACGTGAACATTTCAATACTGAATTGGTCAAATATGGACTCAATATGTGCGAATTTCAATTTCAAAGTAAAAGTCCGCAATACTTGAACAAATAAGGTATAACCGTAATCTAATCCAACCACGACACGGTATTGCGTCCGTACTGCCAATTTTGTTGGATTAATTTTTATTACTCGAGTAAGTACTCACCACCTTGCCACAATCACAAGTAAAAATTCCACCAAGATTAAAAAGCAAAAGAAAAAACTCCTGTTTTTTCAACTCATAAGCAAGAAAAATTCTAGAATTAACAACAGGAACACTAACAATTATTAGAATATTTATTTACCAAAAAATCAAGAAACACGAGTTATTGCCCAGCTCTAGAATTAGCGAATCGTCAAACTGAAAAAGATAGCCAAAGCCCCCTATTAGCTTATTAAGAAAAAGAAAAAAGAACTCACCAGTTCAGGCACCTCGATGGCGGCTTCCGAGGCAGCCTCCGGCGACATCTCCTCCACCGGCGGCGACACCTCGTCGACCCCCTTCACGGAGCACCGGCGGTGGAACGACGCCTCCAGCAGCGGCACGACCTGATGCATCACCTCCGCCCCGGCCACCATCACCGCCTCCTCCCCCGAACCGCTCAACAACCCGCTCGTCCTCCCCAACCGCGAAATCCAACCGGAAACCACCCCCCACAAACCAAACCAAGAACTCCCCCAACCAACCAAGCTTCCAACAACACCTCTCTCGATCACACGCAAAGCACTCTCTCTCGAAAGATTTTGACTCGGCTGCAATCAAAGCTTCTTTCCGGGGAAAACATACAACGAACACGAACACGGAGACTTGTTCTTCTTCTTGCGTGATCCGAAGAGGAGAAAGAAAGAAAGAAACAAACAAAGCGGCTGAGATAAAAGAGGGAGGCCCCTATTTACGCGCGTTGGCGCGTGTGGGGGGCCACGCGCACCCAAACCCCACCCGCGGTAGCCGGTGGGTGGCGGGCGGAGGTGACCGGCAGGTGGCCGCGACCGGCTTGGCTAAGTGGCGACGCGCGGGGGGTGTACCGGTGTTACCGGCACGTGCGCGTTCGCGCGACGGTGTGGCCGTGTGTGGGGTTTGGTTTGCCGACCTTGTGTGGTGTTGTGTTGGGTGTGTTTCGTTTGGCTAAGGCTTACGAGATGGGTGATGCGTGCACTGGTTTCACGCCTTTCGCGTGTGGAGACCGGAGACCGTCCGTTTTTAGGGGTTTTATTTTGCTTTTTTTTAATGAAGAAACTCGATTAGGAATGCCGTTTATTTCCGTTATGTGGTGTAGGAATTTTTAGCGTACGGTTATACTCGTCGTTATTAGTAGTTGAGGAATGTAAAGGATTTACACTGGCAGTTATTAACATAACGGCTATATTTTTTTTAAAAAAATGATGTATGTTAATTTCGAAATACAAGTAGGGGTGGGTATTCGGTTTGACTGAAAATTTCGGTCTCGATATCTTTGAAAAGTGAAGACCGAATTTCAACACAAAAATATTAGGATCGACAAATTCGGTCTCGGTCCTGACTAAAATTCCACAATATTTTTTTATATGCAAAGAAATAATGAAAATTTTCAACATAAAAAAAAGTAAGCACGTATGAGTAAAGACTCTTATTAGGTTGCATGCCTAGAAGAAGTAGGATTGTGGAAATTAGAGTTTAATCATATTGAACTTAGTGGATTATAGGTTACATTTAGATTTTTTTTTGTTAATTCGATCTATTCAATTAAGCGATGAGACTAACCGAATTGATCGAATAAAATTCGGTCTTTTACTGTTTAGGACCGAATTTCTTGGTCTCAGTCATTTCGGTTCGGTTTTTTTATGCCCACCCCTAAATACTAGCATAAACACATGAGTATTTAGGCTGTGTTTGCTGGGGGAGGTTGGGAACAAATCTTCTTCGCACGGAAAACGGAGCGGTCCATTAACGCGTGATTAATTAGAAATTAGCTAATTTTTTTTTCAAAAATGAATCAATATGATTTTTTTAAGCAATTTTTGTATAGAAACTTTTTGCAAAAAACACACCGTTTAGCAGTTTGAAAAGCGTGTACGCGGAAAACGATGGAGAGGTGTTGGGAACCCTGGGTCCGAACACAGCCTTAGCCTTTTCTTGTTGCTATATACAATTGAGCTCATGCTTTCATAGTTTCATTCGTGACCGATTGCCTCTCGTGATTATTATTTTTTTTTGCGGGGAGCCTCTCGTGATTATTAACGAAAATACTCAGAAAATAACTAGGCATATTGACTAGAAGAAAAACGGCGGAGAGAAAATTGTGCCCCTATCCCCCTAACATCAATTTGCCAAGTCTGCTAATAGCTATAGTTGGTAGAGGGTACAGATCCAATATTCACCGTAAGTTTGATATGCACTTCTACTTTAAGTGAACTATGGTCAGTAATTCTTTATATACAACCGGACACCCACGGAAGCATTTTTTCAAATGGCAATCAATCAAACAATCAAAAGGATCAAGGCGTAGCTAGCGTGCGTAACTTTTCAACGGTGTTGGGATTAATTAGAGCCGATGCGAAAAGTCAGAGGGGCCCTTTCCCCCTCGGCGCAGGGCAGCTCTCCATCCATCCGTCATCCGTGGAGTGGGCGCAGGAGGACGGCGCCCCTCAGTGCGTGCGTACCCTGCACGCCACCCTGCCTCATCTTTCGGTTTCCCCCCCTACGCGGCGGCGTCGTCGTCGAGTCAACCGGTGCGATTCTCCGTTTTCTCCCGCGCCTTCCCGTACTAGTAACCCCGTACGTGGGGCGCCCAACGAAAGCAAAAACCACCAGCTTCCGCTTCCCGCGACCCCCGAGTCAAAGCAGAGCAGTGTGGCCACTGCCCAGCCACGCCACGCCACGCGCCGCCGGAACCACACCGTCCTCCTCTTCTTCGGTCTCCTCTTCCCGGTGTTCCCCGTGCCGTGCTACACTGCATCATCTGCATGGGCGGCGCCACGGAGACCCACGCCGCCCACCCGCCCACCCGCCGTTTCTCTCCCGCCGCCACACGGGAAAAGCATCGTCCGCGCGCGCCAGTGTACGTGCGTGTGCGTGTGCGTGTGCGTGTGCGTGGCCGCCTGCCTGCCCGGCCGCGTTTCACCGGGAAAAAAAAGAAAAGAAGGCGTTGCAGAAGGTTGGTTGATTCGATTTTGGCTCGCGCGCGTGTATTACGCTTCGTGTCGCGGAACCGCGCGATGAGCCGAAGCAGATAGCGTAGCGTCCGAACAAGTGTACCACCGCAACTCGCGCGCTTCGGCGAGGCGCCGAGAGGAGCGTGCGTACTCCGCGTGTACAACAGCTTTGCTCGTCGGGCGCCGCACGACACGTGTGCCACACGCTGCTCTCTCGGTGGAGGCAGAGCGAGTTCGCACTCGGCAGCATCGTGTATTCGTGTCGCACCGTGGTGACATGACTGCCATCGCTACAGCCTACAGCGCGGGTAGGCGCAGGCAGAGCCCCTGACACCGGCACGCGGATCGGTCTGTATGCGTATACCCGGCCAACGGAGTCGGGTAAACCAGAGCTTTGCACATAGTTTATCACCAAGATGTTAGCACACTGCACACCCAAAAGATCAAGAGAAAATTCCCTATATACCCCTGAAAATTTACTCAATCCCTTCAATACCCCTGAATTTGACATTATCCCTTATATACCCCTGAGTTTTCATTTTGATCTCCTCTATACCCATATCCGTTAGTTGATCATTAGTTGACCGTTAAATATTTTAAAATGACTATATTACCCATATTATACATATGTGTGGTACCTACCCAATAAATTTTCATATGAAAAATAAACTTATACAAAATACAAGCAATATAATCATTTAATGCCCAACTTAAAAAATAAAACTTATTATTTTTTATTTTTTTAAAAATTATGATTAAATCCATACATTAGTTTCACCAGAAAATTAAGAGCAAAAACTAAATGTTATTTAGGTTTAAATTTTTGGGAAGATATACGAAATTCATCAAATTTGATCTGAAATTTATTTAAAAATTTTAAATTTGTTTTCTAATTTGTGATAAACTAATTATATCCCCTTTGTTTTTTCACAACGAATCTTTTTTCACTAAATATTTGTTGAAAGGTAATTTTCAAATCTTATGCATAACTTTTTTTTACAATAAATCTTTTTTTATTTTAATGAAATAATGTTTTATTTTCAAAAATTCATAACAAATATTTAGTAATTTATTCCTTATTGGTTTTCACAACTCAAATAATTTACACATAAAACATTTCTAGCTTTTAACAATATAACAAGGACAATAAAGTAATTTCTACAATAACTAACGGTCAAACTAATGGTCAACTAACGGAATGGGTATGTAAGGGATCCAAATAAAAACTCAGGGGTATATAAGAGATCAAACAAATTTCAAGGGCGTAGAAGGGATTAGGTGAAATTACATGGGCATATAGGGAATTGGCCCAAAGATCAAACAGTTGGTGCTAGTACCTAACAATCACACACATTATTGGACTAGATTTAGTTAGCGCGCCGCGGCGAACTAATCCATGGAGAGTCATCGTCTCATTGACCATATAGTGAACTAATCCACCTGCACACCTGCAAGTTGAATTTGGGTACGCCCTGCTGACGTAACTCCGTTTCTTTTTCTTTTCCTTCATCCTCTGCTGTATCTTGTACTCTTCCTGTTTGCTTTCTTTTCCTGAAATCTCTTTCAGACTGCAGGGGACACTTGTTGTCAAGCTAGAAAGATAATAATAGCGAAAAGGTATTGGCATCCGAATTAGGGTATCAACTGAGCAGCAAAATATCAAACACATGAATACACACGGTCCAGATCTCCTAGAGTTAGCTATAACTTCAGATCCTCTAGAGTTAGCTATAACTTCACCAGGTGGATTTGACCAAATTCATACCATCAATTGTTTCCTATGGCTAACTTATATTAATTAACTCCCTCAATCACATATGCTTGAATGAAAATTACTTACCTTTTCTTCTTTTTATGTTCCTAATGAGTATGTTTCTGCCAAGTGCCAACAACATTAACAAAGTTTGCACGCTCTCTTCTTCTCCAAACAAGAAGCTATGGTCATGTATAAAACTATGTTAAACATTTAGTACTCCCTCCGTTTGATAATGTAAGTCATTCTAGAATTTCACACATTTATATTGATGTTAAATGAATCTACATCAATATGAATGTGAAAAATACTAGGATGACTTACATTCTGAAACGGAGGAAGTACGTGTAAACATGCACAAACCATATCCACACAAAAATATTGCTAAAACATTAGAGCCACAAGCCCAATATGATTTTTATATCGTGGATGAACCATAAAATTTATAGGTTATGCAAGTAAAATCAGTTTGTATATTCTTCAGATATATAGTATTCGTTGATTTGTTACAAATATTAGGATGAAGAAGAAAAACTAGTGGGAATTAGTTAGTTTATCTCAACCGTTGTTATAAAGAGACGACTGAGATTTGATCAAATCCATCGGGTGGGGTTGGAGTGAACTCCAGGGGATCCCCGACCCGAATACACACAGGCACACAGCTACCACTTAAGGGCGGCATTATTGGGGCATGACCCCGTCAATCAAATGCTTCCTAGCTTTTTTGGAATAGTAACGATACCTGCTTTTCTGCTGGGAAAATATCTCCTGAAAAGAACTTCATCGACATCTCTAGTTTCATTTCTACAATTTCTTTAAGGAATCTTTTTATTTTTTTAAAAAAACTCTCCGAGCTCTTGAGAAAGATTCTGTCCAAATAGAATCAGATATTGTGATTGATCTTTCGGTGGTTGTTTATCAGGCAATTGCTCACAGGGTGCAACTTGGATGCAAATCTCTGTCGAATAGTATATGCTGAAGGCACAACAACGACCTCTCCGGGCTAGTTTTATCCCTTTCTTATTTTCTTTATAAAAAATTTCCTTTTTTGTTTTTACATATTTCAAGATAAGGTTACAATCTTTGAAGATGCTATATCCAAAACTGTATCAGATATTCAGATATTATGATTGATTTCTCCATAACTGTTGGGTGGTATATCCAACTCATTAAGCTTTGACGTACACTGTTTAGCGGCATGGGTATGTGTGTGCTCGCGCTCTTTGATGGCACATCACAAACAGCTGCTTTGGATGCAAATAAAGGAGAAGCAACTCTGCCCAAAGGAGATGCAACACTGCACACATTATCACTTTGGTCTAATTTCTTATCGGGCACTGATCCTAAAAACAAAAAGATACTATCTTCAATAGTGCCTCGAGCTTCTGAAAACTGAAATGGCTAGGGAAAGCAAGCACTGTCGTACTTTCCTAATCACTGGTTTCCATGCCTATCCAATGATCAAGGACTGGATAAGGATGACTCAAAAGAAAACAAATTTTGGGATTCTGTTTAAAGTATAGAAAGCATTTTGCATTTTCAGGCATTAAGCACTAATATCAGTTGCACAAGCCCAAAGCCCCGAAACCAACATCAAAGTTTCAGACAAATTGTACTGCTCACACAGGCCCCATGGTTTCAACTAAACTGCGACTAAAAATTGCGAGCTATTCTATTCACTCGAAACAAGCCGCGCCTCAGTAATCACTAAAACTGAAACTGATAAACCACATGGCACATGGAAACACTAGCTTCAATGGGCAAATGCATCAAGTTCTTAGCTTCACAACAGTTGGATGAGTGGCATTGCCTTTGCTTTTTCAACGGAAGAGGAGGGATCCTACACGCAAAAATATTAAAAGAGCAATGCAAGCATTCAACTGAAATCAAACAGGAAGTGTCTTCTCTCCAGTGAACGCCACTTGTTTAGGAGAGTGTATTTGCTAATATTATCAATGTAAAGGATAGCAGTCCAAACAATACAAATGCCAGAAGTAACTTTTGTGTGTCTGGTACTGATACCTCAAAGAGTGAGTCAACTAAATAAAAGTGAATGGAATATACCAAAATATACAAACTATCAATGTAGTATAGCATACTTCCTAAACACAATCCAATTTCTATATCAACAGGATCTTTGTATTGCTCCTGCAATTTTCACTAAACTACTAATGAACAGAACCCTGTATCATCGATGCGAGTGATGGGTGGACTCGAGCAGTTTTCATTGACCGTGCAACACATCTTCCATCTGAATATTCCTCACCAAGAGGCCACCTTGGACGCAGGTCATACTGTACCAGTTAAGACAATTATCAGGCATGATAACAGCCAGTCAGTCTTATAAAACATAGAACTTACACTGTATTAACGTCAGGAGTAGAGTAAAATTACCAAGTATAAGATTCCTTCCATAACATAAATACACAGCAGGTCGATCTGAAGTGTGTTCTAATTTAATGTAAGAAAATTAGACGGCATGGTTCTAAGTTCTGACGATGTGCGAATTCCATCTTCTATGATATTAATTATAGGAAACATTTGGATAAAAAATAACTCCTAAATTGATCTTCGTGACCTGCCACCATCACATGGCTACTGATATCATAAATACTGACTAGCTCTGCTCACAGGCCAAGCCGATTTGATCAATCCCCCTGGGTGTCAAATTGAAGGAGACATGAGGAGGAACATAAAGGCAGCTATAGGGATGGGGAAGATGGTGAAAATGTGGTTTGACTGTTTGACTGGCTTGGATTCGATTTTGACATAACACAAGCTCACCTGTTCGATGACCATATGGCAAAGCTTATAATATGGTAGACCACAAGATGAAAATGCCAACAAAACCAAATTTGGCAGGTAATTTGCTACTTTTGAGATTTGAGTATTGAGATTTGGGAGTCGAGGGTGAAAAAAAAAAAAGACTCTGGATGACTTGAGGTAAACGGAATTACCGACCTTCAACTATAGTGCCAAATGCAGTTACTTGGGACTACAAGGACATATATGCCAAATCTACCCAAATTAAGATCAAGAACACGATATAATCTATCCAAGCCTCACATTTCAATGTTCATTGAAATGCCATCGGTTTAGCTTTATACTCTTCCTCCTTGTCAGTAGCCACACCAATTGCCTTTTAATAAGACCTTTTTTTTATTGTAGCAGCAAAGAGTTGATCGTGTATCAATGCATTTTTAAACTACCAAGTCATAAGAAGCAAAAAAGTTTTCTGTGCTTGATGGTGAACTTTGTTTTGTTCAACTCTATCAACTGAGCATATTTATTTGTCACGTTACCTGCAAATCATCAGGCTCATCAACAGCAGGAGGATCATCAAATCTGCCTGCAATGAAATGCTCAATACCAGTCCAAGCAATCATGACACCTGCAAAAGCATATGCCAGAATTATGTGCAAATTGCTTAAGAATAATTAGGAGGAATCTGTACTCTGTACGGAAGAAGCAGTCAAAAATAAGTTCAAATGCTCGAGTTCAACAAGTCAAAAGGACAGAAAATAAACAGTATAACAACAACATAGGGCCAAGACACAAAATTAAATAAATAATGTAGAGTGACATAAAAAATGAAGATATGCAATGAGTGGCATGGAAAATAGCATTAAATCCTAAATACTTTTGTTAATAATATGATTGAATATTTTGGGCATGCAAATAAACTTTTTACCATTGTCAGTGCAAAGCCTTGGTGGAGGGCATACGAGCTGTAGGCCATTCTTCTCAGCAATCTGATTCAAATGAGTTCTGACATACTGGTTTGATGCAACGCCTCCTGAAACAACCTTTAATAACTGAGTCAATAACACACTGGATGAACTAATGTAAAATGTAAATATTTTAAAATTAATTAACATCAAGATATCTGAATTACAAAGTATTTAATAGAAGGCTCCATCTTCAAGGCCCATTCAACTGCTCGTTGGCATCTTTCTTCCAAATGTAAAACAGCAACTCACTGCAGAGGTCAACATCAGAAAACTACCAAAATCTTAATGAATAATGAAAATGCATCCCCTATAATGTAAAAACCTGAAAAGAGGCAGCAATGTTCGCCCTTATTTGTCTGTCATCTTTTGTAGCAGATGAAATAGGAATATCATCTGTTGATCTACCATAGCACAAAAACAACAGAAGAGTTACGAGACCAAATGTTACAATCAATGAGATTGCATGTCTGTTTCATGTAATAATGAAAAATGTTCCTTCTCCAATAAAGAAACAGAAACATTCTATACCTATTCTAACAATCAGTTTTCTAGCAACTTGCAACCTCTTGTTAGTTGTTAACATTATTGTTCCCACTTTGTTGTTCTTGTTATTTGATCTAGAGCATTTCCAGCACAGGTTATTGTATATAATGCCTATGTAGGTGTTCTTTAATTAATAAAAAGAACAATGACCTTGCATGGTTGAGACAGACTTACTAAACTTGTAGGAACGGCTGCAATAGTTTCATGTTAATTTCCTAGTGATTGATATAAAAACATTTCAGTAAAATTAAAAAAACAAGTATTGTAGATTATTGAGAGTTAAAGTCAAGTCTCTGCTTGTTAATCTAGAATACTGTAGTCAAGGAGAGCAAACAGCATGCCAAATACACTATTTATTTGACACACCAGCAGGCATATTAATCGTACGATGAAGACAATGGCACAAGGACTAAAACAGCCATACATGTTTCTGGATTCAATAGCCAATCGAACTTGAGTCTTCAGACCAGCATAAGAGAAATTGCAATCTTTGTGTTGTCGCATCGAAACCTGGAAGTTCACAAAAGGAGAAGGAAAGCAAACATCATGTTGACCTACCAGTCACGATAGGTGGATAACACAACATATCTACCCAGTGGACATTACAAATTTACAATAGAAAAAAGTGGAAGTGCAAAAGTTCACAACAGAAACTAGTCGTGCTCTAGAACTAAATCCACAAAAATAAAGAGAAAAACGTAAAATCCCTAACAAATGAACAGTAAACAACATTCCATCGTTTGAGCTAAAGAAATCTACTATTGCTTGGCGGTGAACTGGTAAAGGAACTTATGCTTCATCAGTTGAGAATGTCATCTTCATAACTCAGAAATAAAAACCAAGGCGATACCTGGAAACTAATGCCTGTGCCTCCATATGATGAACTCCAACAATAGGCAGGTGAAATGATTTTGCTATTTTTCGAGCTTTGTGAACACCAACTGCAATTTATATGGTTCGTTAAATAGCCTTTAAAGAAATGTAAGAGAGACTCAGCAAGGTTAAAAAGTAAATTCAATAAAGTTCACTCTGACTGTGTAAATAGTAGTATATGCAATGTATCATTTCAACAGTCGATTATTTTACAGGTTGACATTGCGAGTGACTGCACAAGATAAAGAACTACTAACAAGTAACACCATCTAAAGGGCAAACAAGTTAGTGATGAAAAATGCACTGCACCTAAAATAAGCGAACTAATAGAGAGAACACGGGGTTTTGGTTGTGGGGAATGATTGAAAGATGCAAACAAGATTCTGTAACAAACTGAAAATTCAGAACCATGCCAGCATTTAAGACATAACAGTAAATACCAGATAATCCTATTGATCAGGAGTAAACATACAAAAGCATCAAATACCTCTGAGGCATAAACTAAGTCCTGGTCCTACGGTGACAGCCACTGCAGAAAGATCACTTTCTGACACATTTGCATTATCAAGTGCTTTCTGGACAACCTGCAAGGAAAGTACAAAAAGTTAGCAACTCTTTAACATAAATGTAAAAAACAGCAAGATCCGCACAACTTCTGAACAGAAACTCTGAAACTGAAAGCCAAACCCGATCAATCGCAAGCAAATGAGCTTCCTCAGCCATCTTCGGTGCGACGCCTCCCCACCTCACGAGTAAATCTTCCTTCCAAATGTTGTAAGCACAAAGCAATACTATCAGCAGCGCACAGAATATAACATGACAAATATACAGAAATGAAGTGTGCTGGACAGGGAGGTGGGGGGCATAGTGTCTCACTTGGGAAGATACCACCTGGCTTAGGATCTCGCCATCGCCTCTAACCTGCAACCAACAAAGGCAACAGAGAGCCAAGGCACTAAGAACAAATCCTAGACATGGCTCCACCACAGCTACAAGCGGTCTGCCATGGGGGAAAGGGAGGGGGGGGGGGGGGATGAGCCGCGCGTACCACGGCGGCGGCGGTGTCGTCGCAGCTGGTCTCGATGCCGAGCATGAGGAGGTTGCCGTGATCGGGGGTGGCCCGTGAACCGGCGGCGGAGGGCATTGTGGAGAGGGAGCGGAAGGTAGGAGACCGTACCGGCGGGGAGGGGGCGGGGGCGAGGAGGCGTCGGAGGAGGAGACCGGCGGCGATAAGGTGGGGAAAAGAGTGGCCGCCATTCCACCGTGGCTCGGCTTTGCACTCTCTCAGCTTCGGCCTTGGATTGCATTTGAAACGGAAGTATCGGATATTCAGATTTGACCACGAGAGTTTTCGCACAGGCCACAAGCCCGCAAGTTAGATTGGGCCTTCGGACTGACAAGTCTTAGCATTAAACGGGCCTAGTTTGGGCTGACATTTGTCTGACATGACCGAATTTACACAACTTTTTACGCAATTACACCCATATATACTTTGCATTTATTCCTAATTGCCATAAAAATTTTAGAAAAAAAGTTCATTTTAGTACTCCCCGAACTAATTCAATGGATCACTTAACCCTGAACTATTTTTTGGGCTCATTTTACCCCTTAAACTATTAAAAATGATTCAGTTTACTCCTTAATAACAGCTCTATTTTTTTTGTTACTCTTTTATAAAAGTTATATTTTAAGCTAAAATTTATTAGAGCCATAGATGACACCTTTATCAAAGTTCAAAAATATTTTGAAATTTTTTCATGGCTGTTTGCTTGAACTTTAAAATGTTGATGTTTAAATCAGTTTTAACTGCTTCCAACGTACATAAACAGTGAGAAAAAAATATAAAAAAAGTTGAGGCGTAAGTTGTGAATGCAACTATATTTTCTACCAAATTTTCAGTGCGATGACTTCTATAGATAAAAACAAAAAAGAGAGATAGCGTTAGAGGAGTGAAGTGAACCGCTTTCAATATCTTGAGGGTGTAAAATGAACCCAACAATAGTTTAGAGGGTTAAGTGCTCCGGTGAAATAGTTCCGAGAAGTAAAATGATTTTTTTTTCAAAATTTATGAAACAATTCTACAACGTTGTTAAACATAGGTTACATCATTAAACATTATTTTGTAAACTTGCATATTAAATGAGATATACAATATCAAAGTAAAACAAATATTCAACTATAAACAACACCACAATTATGGGGAAAGAAAGATGATAGCAATTCTTGTAAAACAACACACCTATTAGCTCCCTTCCTTCCCACATCAACAAAGGCATAAGATGTAGAATACCTGTGTAGTTCCCTTTATCCTCGGGAACATTCCACAAGTAGAAAATGAATACAAAGGTCAAGGTTCAAAGAAGGCAGAACTCCATGATGTCAGCATGCAGATAATCAAGATCAACCGCCCTAGAAAACTTGGAGAACAAATGAATTGCGGATGGCATCGTCGGACGAGTTGATGGATTGGGGTGAAGGCACTGTATAGCAACCGTGATCAATCCAAATATCTCGCTTGCAACTTCACCTGCTGGAGGCGGGAGTCTGGTGTCCAACAAATCCTTCATCGGTGTGCTTTTCTTGCTAGGGCATGAGATCGACGAAACAAAGTCTCCAGGGTGAGATCCCATCAACAGCTCAAGAACTACCACCCCGAAGCTATAAACGTCACATTTCTCTGTCACCTTCGTAGTGTATGCCAGCTCTGAAGTATCAGGAGTTCAGTCAGATTAAAATGTACTAAATATTAATTTATGTTAATATTGTGGTAACTTCTTCATGCATATTAAGTATAGCGTAGAGCATATTTTTTAGTAATATAATGCAGCTTCATGCAACAAGAAAAATACATAAGATAAGAAAAATAATAATCAAAACAGTAGGTTCAACATAATAAATTTTGTTTACCTGGTGCAAGATATCCTTTTGTACCAGCGAGCCTTGTGTGTCCTGATCCATCAGCATCCAGTATTTTAGCTATCCCAAAGTCTGATAAACAAGCTCTGAACTCCAGATCTAGCAGAATGTTTTTGGTTGTTACATCTCGATGGACTATAGGATCTGAACAGTCGTGATGCAAGTAAGATAGGGCATGAGCAACATCCTGAGCAATACATAACCTGCGCTTCCAATCCAACTCGCTTGCACTTCTGTAGGACTTGAGAGCTGTCAACAAGTTTCCTCCTTTCATATACTTGTAGACAATAAACTTATCTCGTGCTGTACAGCAGTAGCCAAAGACTTTTACAATGTTCTTGTGGCGTATTTGCATTGTGGCCTCTATTTCACGATAGAACATTTGCTCGTTTATCAAACGGCCATTCTCTGTTGCATTTATCTTCTTGACTGCAAAATTTTTACCATTTGATAATTTAGCTACATAGACAGACACATAACCACCTGCTCCAATGCAATATTTTTCACTAAAGTTCTCCGTCGCTTCAATAATTTGCTCGTATGCATTTCCACCATCAAAGTTTAAGACAGAGAACATGTTTTCCTGCTGCAAATCTCCTGCGTCGTGTATCTTGTACTTCTTTCTTCTGCATATTCTGCACAGGCTTATAACTAGAACTGCAAGAACAACAAACAGAGTAAGATAAATTTCAGAAAACTATAAGTTCTAATGCAAAAGGCAATCAGTGAACCACACATTCATAAGAAACAGTTTCACAAACCCACAGTTTTAGTTGTTAAGAAAACCACACATTTGCACAACAAATTATGAGGGAACACATATGCAACATGATGAAGATATGAAGTATATCATATACCAAAGTATATCATATATGAAGTCATCCACACCTGCAGCAGCCAAGACAAAGAGTAACACAATGAGCCATGGCAAATACATGTTGGGGATTGTGAGACTGAATCGAGAAGACACGGAAACTTGAAGGATGAGTTTTGTGGTAGGTTGCGAGGAGGAGAGCCAAAGAGAATGAGATATATGCATGTAAGGGACTTCTGACCAAAGAACGAACAGCGACACAGTCACTGGATGCTTTGGTATTTGATTCCTGTAACGTGTGAGCAGTTTCTGGATCTTGTATGCGTAGCTAGCACCCTAATACTAGTCCTGGGTTTAGCATGTATAACTATCAATTAACTAGACTAAAGTACAACAAGATGGGTTAAACAATTATAGAGTATGTAGTTGGTTTTCCTACTGGAAATTGTATGGTGATATTTGGTTGATGAGCAAGCTGGCAATCTAGTGTCAACTGTCAACGTGCCGTGAAACTATGATAGTTATATTTGGACTCTTGACTTTGAGCGTGTTTGGTTAAAAGCCTCTGACCGAGGAATTAAAAATGAGCTAAACAAACAGAAGAAGTCCCTCCAAAGTTCATTAAAAAATTGAGGAAACCTTCCTAAGTCCATGTGCACAAAATATGCAATAAACTTATTATTATCGCCCGGGTTTCTGCTTAGTTCCTCTGACCGAGGAATTAAAATTGAGCTAAACAAACTGAAGAAGTCCCTCCAAAGTTCATTAAAAAAATTGAGGAAACCTTCCTAAGTCCATGTGCAGAAAATATGCAATAAACTTATTACTATCGCCCGGGTTTCTGCTTAGTTCCGTATGCTTCAATCTAAGCTAGGATACGGATCATGTGTTGGTTGCCTTGAGGAACTAACAAAGAATCGGTCATCTCACTTGCAGCACATTACTCAAAGGTCAACAACGCTACAAACACACTAAACGTATGCATACCATTTCTTCATCATTTGGTGTGTGCGGGATGGCGGTTCTCATTTTCTCAAGTGATAGAATCCAATACCCAAAAACATTGCTAAGAACTCCAAAGTAAATGATTAGAGATCTAGGAAGCAGAGAATTCCTGTAAAGAAAACGGAAAAAAAGTAAATTGTACATGTACACGAGAAACTAGAAGCTGGCTCCATGGAAGCATTTCATCGAGCAACTTGCATGCAGCGAGTTGAGCTCTTCTCACCTGCTTGCCGCGGCGTGGTTGCCGCCGGGAAAAAGCGGAGATCTGCGTGGGTTTGGAGAAATATGCGACGCGCTGCAGCTGCTGCGCACGGGCGGCAACGGGAGGAGCGAGGAGGCACCGGACGCGGCAGCGCCGCCGCCTCCGCAGCCTCGATGACTCCATTTTCCCTGGCGGCGCCGCACCGACGACGACGAGAGGAAGGGGTCAAGGGAAAAGCGGCGGAGTGAGTGAGTGACAGTGTAGCCATCTTGTTGGGCCACGTCGCAGGCCGTTTCGGGGCCATCAGCAATGCAGAAGCCCAATACAGGCCCAGTTCGGCCCAGCCCGGCCTGCGCATGAGCGGCGGCGGCTACAGAGATTGGAATCCCCTTCCCGATTGGAATCGGGCGGAGAGACGGGAGAGAGAGGAGAGGAGTCGAACTAGGGTTAGTGAGGTGAAGGGGGGCGATTTTGCTCATCGCCCTCCGCCTAGATCGAATCCGAATCCCGCCTCCTCCTCCTCCTCCTCCTCCCCCCGCGCCGATCTTGCCCCGCTCCCTCGCCGCAGCTGCGGGCTTGCCCTAGCCCGCCGCATCGCCGACGTACTACGCCCGCTCGGCTCCAGGCTCCAGATCCGGCCTCCAGGGCGTGCCCGCTGCTGGACGGCGCTCTCCCGCGTCCGTGGCTACCTCCTCCTCCGGGTTTGCGTTGCCGTCGCCGAAGCGATCCGTTGGTATCTCTCTCTCTCTCTCTATCTATCTCTGCTTGGTTAGTTATTTGTTTTGCAAAAGCGATTCGTTTGGAATCTCCATCTGCTTGGTTAGTTATTGTTCGGAATGGTGTCTTTGTCGGTAATTGGTACCTTAAAAAAGAGAGTGGTGTGGTTGCTTTGGATTGGAAAAACCAAGGAGAGTTCTTTACACTATAAGGTGAGAGGCGAATTACCGAGCAGGGATAATTCGGATTGTGCTGCTTTGAATTGGAATGCCGAAGAGGCTCTATGTGCTATAACAGTACGGCTCAAATTTCTGAGCAGGGAGAATTCAGCTATTTAGGTTCTGTGTCATGTACTTTTGCTTGTTAGTGTGTGGGGGCGGAACCTCACACATTTCTTTGTAGTGTATAAACCTAAGAACTTAGAAAGTTCGAGCTTTGGTGAAGTCCTTCATGTTAATACATGTCGAATGTGAGGATGGGGGCGTCTGGGGGGTACTATGCTCAAATCTGAAAAATGTGTTATATACACTATCGCATGAGACCAATGAACCACACAGATAGTAGACATCTGTACAAAAGGGTACACTTTCATTACAGAAGATCATGTGTACAACATGTCTACATAAAACTAGCCTCAAAAGATCCTCCAAAGTGAGGGTCTCAAGCAAAATTGGCCCCATCTCCTTTTAAGGACTAAATATGATGCATTGCCTAAAAGCCCCCAATTTGGATGTAAGGTTTATTGACGATTAAAAGTATGAGTTCTAATAAGTAGCTGTTAGTTAAGTTATGCTTTTAATTTTGACCAAAGTTTGATGATCTGGATTCGGATGAAAAGTCTCCAGCTTTAGTATATTTCTTTGCAGTACTTCTGTATACCCAACTGTCAAGATATTCATTTCTCAAAACTTGGGAAGATATAGTGTTTCATAGGGTCATCGATATACGAATTGAGCGCAACAAAGCTAATATGAGCTTGTTTTATTTCTTATCAAATTGTTTGGTGTAACCAAGTGCTCAGCAGTTTGGCATCATGGGTACCTGAAGATCCAACTATGTTTTGGCCCTTCTAATTCATAGGAGTTAGGACTAACCATTAACATTTTTTTATTTAGTAGATTTGCAGGGATATATGTTTCTAATGTGCAATTTTCTACTAGTACCTAGGTTATGTGTCCTGCTAAAATGATTGTTGTTGCAGGTGGATTGTGTGTAGCTCTGTAACAAAGGATCTTGGTCCATAGGAGTGAACCAGAAGGTACAAAACTTCTTGGCTATTATGACATCGGTGGGTCTAGTAGATTCTTCATCAGGTTTCCCGGAAACGAGTACTAGTGGAGCCACTGATCGTCTGACAGATGATATCAGCGAGATGAGCATAAGAGATAAGGTAATTTTATTCTGGAAATCAATCACAATATTACTCAATTCTTATGATGATACCATCCTCTTTGACTCTTATTGACATATGTACCAGGAAGTTGAAGCTGTAGTGGTCAGTGGCAATAGTATGGACATAGGTCACACTATTGTGACAACTGTTGGTGGAAGAAATGGGCAGCCAAAGCAGGTACTGACATAGCATTGGTCTATGGTGATCACTACTATGTTTGTACTGTAGTACTTCATGTTGCAATAGATAGAATTTATGTGGCAAACACTACCACATTATTAAAAAATTGCCGTTATGTGCCATTATTTGTCTATTTCTAAAAACTTATAGTACTGGATTTTTATTGGATTGCAGACAATTAGTTACATCGCAGAGCGTGCTGTTGGGCGTGGTTCATTTGGAGTTGTCTTCCAGGTGGGCCATTGGTATATGCCATTCTGTCATTACCTTTCTGTTTAGAGATTACTAATTAAATTATCTTTGACAGGCTAAGTGTCTAGAAACTGGTGAGAGAGTTGCTGTAAAGAAAGTTCTTCAAGATGCGAGATACAAGAACCGGGAGCTGCAAACGATGCAAGTTCTCGATCACCCAAATGTTGCATGCTTGAAGCATTACTTTTGCTCGACTACTGCGAAGGAGGAGCTATACCTCAACTTGGTTCTTGAATATGTGCCAGAAACTGTTCATCGTGTTATTAGACATTACAATAAGATGAGCCAACGCATGCCATTGATTTATGTTAAACTTTATATGTACCAGGTAAGGTTGCAGGCGCCTTACAACACAACTATAGCTATGCACTATTAGTTTTGATAATGATTTTAACTGAAAACTGTTCATTGTCATTTCTGTTCTTTCAGATTTGTAGGGCTTTGGCATACATTCATAACTGTGTGGGAGTATGCCACAGAGATATAAAGCCACAGAATATATTGGTATGTACTGTGGTTAACTGGTTATCATTTGTCTGAGTAGTGCATACTAGCAACATTATTTTCCGTATATGATAATTTCAGCTTAATGAGGTCTGACAAGATATTCCTGTCATAGGTGAATCCACATAATCATCAGTTGAAATTGTGTGACTTTGGCAGTGCAAAAGTCCTGGTATGATCCCTTGTATCAATTAGAGTAATCTTCACTCACATATGTTTTCATAAAAAAAGGTCACATATCTTTTATAAGCTATCTGAAATTCTTAAATTTACCTTGCCGTGTCCATAGGTGAAAGGGGAACCAAATATTTCATATATCTGTTCTAGATACTACAGAGCCCCAGAACTCATATTTGGGGCTACAGAGTACACGACAGCTATTGATGTGTGGTCTGCTGGCTGTGTTCTTGCTGAACTACTTCTAGGGCAGGTAAGAAGTCAACCTAGTTGTCATCATACATTACCCAATTTCTTGAAGCAACTTCTCTGAATTATTTGCTGTTGGTTAGCCTGTTTTTCCTGGTGACAGTGGCGTCGACCAACTTGTTGAAATTATCAAGGTAACATCTGATTTAGTTTAGTGGAATATTATTCTATGTAGTTTCCCCCTTTTCTTTTAGCTCATGCAGGAGACTTACTGTACTTCATTCAGGTACTGGGTACTCCAACAAGGGAAGAAATCAAACATATGAATCCGAACTACACTGAGTTTAAGTTCCCCCAAATCAAAGCTCACCCATGGCACAAGGTAGGAGCCTTCACATTTATTTTGTTCCTCTTATTTTCAGAGTTAATGTCTCCTGCTTACTATTTATAAATTATAATGTGTATTCTAATTATGCATACTTTCACCAGATCTTTCATAAAAGAATGCCATCTGAAGCTGTAGATCTTGTGTCTCGGCTTCTGCAGTACTCACCACACCTCCGGTGCAGTGCAGTAAGTATTAATGCATATATCAGGAAATCTCTTGTAAATGTTTCTATGTACTCATTTTACATCTTCCTTTTTTTCTCCTCGCACCAGTTGGAGGTGTTAATTCATCCATTCTTCGATGAACTACGAGATCCAAATGCTCGCTTACCAAATGGCCGTACTCTTCCCCCACTATTCAATTTCAAGCCTCGTGGTAAGTTAAGATTTTTGTCAATGCCAGACCAACTGAAACACCCTGACAGCAATATCCTGATTTGCTAACTACTGAACTTGAACAGAGCTGAAAGGAGCATCAATGGAATTTCTTGTGAAGTTGGTTCCACAGCATGCTAAGAAGCAATGTGCCTTCTTAGGATTATGAGCAGACAGTTCATACACTAATCGGGTATTACGTTGGTCTACTTGGTTCCGTAGAACAGCATGGCCTGCAGTATTATTGAATGGGCCCTAATTTTGTTCTACGTGCACCCTGCTTGGGCATGCCTTCTACCATCATATTCTGTAAAGCAGATGAAGACATGGAGTGAGTGGTTATTGATTGGGGCTTGTATATTGGTCTGCCCTTGACTTGAGAACTTTATTCACTCTGCTGTATCAAGCAAGAAAGAACACGTATGTATGCTTGAGCCATATTTCATTCCAGAGCCTCTATCAGGTTTCACCGACCATCAGATTTAAGTCTTCCAGTTTGTAGGGCTAAGCCAAAAAAGTTCTATGTGTGAAGAGTTGGAGACATCTGTTTGGTTACAAGCTATTTGATTGTATTTGATCATTCTTTTGTATTAACACTCTGATAAACTTACATGAGTTAATTCTATTGTTATGTGATATAGTTGTGTGCCACTTTTAAACACCTAAACAACTCTGTTCAATGTTGAAATGTTTGGCATGTATCAACATATCACCTCATTATTTCGAGGTTGATTTTGTACACCTGATATCTGTTAGCTTGAATGCTTGATTACAAGCAAATGATTAAATATTTTATATACCGATGCGCCTCGATGATTCCATTTTTTTACCCTGATTTCTGTTAGCTTGAATGTTTGATTACAAGATGGATAAGGGCGTAAGGAGCATTCCAATTAATGTCTCGTTTTTTGTCAAAGTACTAATCAAGGTACGCATATATCACTCCTGAATGAAAACCCATTTTTGGTGAGAGGCAGTGTCTGTCTGTATGACCGTTTCAATCATGAATTGCTGAGCTGAATCCCTGGGTTATTGCTAGAACGGAGCATTTTATAGCATTGTTACATCGTTTGTTTCTTGTGCCTTTTTTTTTTGGTTTGTTTGAAGAGTAATGGGATGCATCTCATGCACTCACGCCATATCGTTTGTTTCTTGTGCTTTTGTTTTTCTTGAGGAATACAATGGGATCCCATGCACTCACGCCATGCATGCACTTGCGTCTTGCGTGCGCAAGTTTTTATACGGATGACTAGATTTATGTTCTGAATAGTAGCTAGTATGTTCTAGATATAATTGCATATACTATATAATTTGCTATACTACCTTTTGCTTTTGTTCCGGAAATCCATCCACCCAAGGCGTGCAGCTTGACAATACCAGTTTCCAACAAAGGATGCTCTTTTGTTCTGCCACCAACCAAGTACTCCATTAGTTTAAACACTTCCGTATCAAGAGCTGCTTGCACTGAACTAAGAGAATCCTTTTCTCCCCAATACTGCCAAGTGTGCCAAGAACAGATATCTGATTTTGCAACTGAATGTGCTGTCATGTAGTGCATATAAAAGAAAGAAGAGAGAAACCAAGAGGTGGTTCAGTTTAGATTTGGTTGTCTTGTAGTGAAAAAAAAGAGAAACCAAGAGGTGGTTCAGTTCAGATCTGTCAGGGGAAGCCAAGCCTTATGTTTCTCTGCTTGTTTCAACTATTTTCAGTGGAAGTGTCACAGCTGAATGTACAGCATGCACCATATGTTTCTCTCCTCCACTATACAATTTATTCAGTCTGATACTCATGTTTCAGACTTTTGCCTGTTTTCTGGTGACCTAGTCCTAGTCAATTTTGATGTGAGCCTACAACCTCACTTTGCAAAATGTCCAACAATTTTACTGATATGATGGTTGGTCGGCCAGGCACCGAGCGAGTTGCCAAGACAGAACGCCTGCTTTTGTTTATGCAAAACAAAAATGACTGTCTTAAACTAGTACTAACTAACACTATCAAGCTGCAATGATAGATGCTAGGCTTGCTACCTATCTACTAGCTAGACAGTATATATTTATGCTACCGTGCAATCTCTAGCAGCTACGTACGTACCGACCTGATGTGAGCCCTGAGTGCTGCACTGAAACGCGGATGCACACCAATATCGGGCAGAAAAATGGTTAAAACCAAATGGATCATATGGACCACGGCAGCACCACCAGAAATCTAGTGGCCACGACGAATTACCGCAATGAAAACCAAAACCGAGCAATCAAACTTTTGGCCAGCGCACACGAATGCTACCATGTACTTCCAGTACAGTGATCAGCACCGCCCCTCGGGGTTAATAATTCAGTTGTAAAGCGCGCGCCACCTAGCTTAGCCTTTTCTCTTGATCTCCTCCTCTCTAGCTAGTGGTGGCTTTATCACGATTAATTCTAGTAGTAGATATCACACATGCACTCGCAGTAGTCGCATGCAGCTGCAATGTCTGACCGCGAAGGATGCGCGCACGCACGCACGCATCTTGCTCGATCGGCCAATCTGGTCGCCAGATTCACGTCCATTTTCTGCTCGATTTGGATTAAACAACGGTGGCAGTAGAAAGACTAGTACTAATCTAGTAGACTAGTAGAAACAGTGGTCACCCCGGCGACGACGGGGGAGAGGAAGATTCGGGCCCGAATTTCGCAACGCACGCATGGCATACCCCCCCCCCCCCCCCCCCCCCGAAAGCGATACGTATGCTGACCGATCCATGCGCTTGATGCGACCATGCGTCGCGTTACATCAGGGAAAACGTGAGCGGAACAGCAACCGCGACGGCGCCACCACCGCGCAGCAGCAGCACGTACGCCGGCGACACGCGCGCGCGCGCGTGCCCGTTTCTCTCGATCTCGCCACGGCTAGCTAAAGAGCGAGACAGTGAGTGCAACCTTTGATCGATCCTACCCCCAAATAGAAGTAGAATTGAGACACTGAGTGGTGCAAAGCCCTACTACTACGTGCACTGCCGCTGTCATTTCTCTAAGTAGAAGTGGAAAGTTAGTAGAACTCGTCGTACGTACGTCGACGACTCGTCTCGCGCGTGTACGTACGTGCACGCTCCACTGCACGTCGTGGAGGAGAAAAGCGGGGCTCGATCGTGTGCGATGTGTGTGTGGCGTGGCCGGCCAGCGATCGAGCGAGCGCGCTCGGTGAGGCGCGCGCGCGGGGGGGTGGGTCGGTCGGTCGCCGCCATTAGAAAAATGGGCGCCCTTCGGCGCGAAATGGCGAAGAGCAGCCACATAACAAGCCTCTGATGAGGCCTCCACTACCGTTCACTCGTCTCCACCACCACCACCACCACCATCATCTCCTCCTCCTCCGACGCGCGGCCATGCACGCGCCCGCCCGCCTCGCTCCCTCCCTATAAATCCTGGCTCCCGCGCTCCCCACACTTCTCCAAGCCCAACAACTCCCAACCGTCTCTAGCTCTAGCTAAGCTTAGCCGCGGCCTCTTGATCGACAAGCCTTCGCTAGCAGCAGCAGCAGATCGCGTCTCGTCGTCCTAGATCCCCGCGACAGCGACCTTGGATACTGCCTGCGTGCGTATATAAGAAGAGGTAGACGGGTAGTGATCGATCGATCCATCCATCCAAGATTCACCATTCAGCTCAGAGCTGCACGAACGCCTCTGCACTGAGAGTTTTTCATAGGTTTCTGCGGTGATGGAGCTCGCCGCAGCCGGTAGGACCGCCGCCATTGCGCTGCTTCTCGCGCTTGCCTTCGCGTCGAGCTTCATTAGCGCCGCCGATGGCGCGAGGAGTGCCCGCCACCACCACGCCAAGCACGCCAAGCGCAACGCCGCGCACCCGCCGTCGCAGGCGCCGGGCCCCGCGGCGAGGCACGCCCCGGGACCGGCGAGGCACCACGGCGCGCCGGCTCCTCACCCGGGGCGGCGCTCTCCCCCGGCCCCGGCGCCGGCCAACCCGCCGTCGTCCGACCCAATGCCTGGCGGGGCGCCGAGCGCCGCCCCCGCGGCCGGCGCGGCCACCGTGTACGACATCGTCAAGGACTTCGGCGCGGCCGGGGACGGCGTGACGGACGACACCGACGCGCTCAAGACGGCGTGGGACACCGCGTGCGCGGACGACGGCGCGGGCGTCGTGCTGGCCGCCGCCGGTCGCTCGTTCCTGATCCACACCACCGTCTTCACCGGGCCCTGCCAGGGCAGCGTCACGCTGCAGGTCGACGGGACGATCGTCGCGCCGAGCGAGCCGGCGACGTGGCCGGCGAACAACAAGCGCAACTGGCTCGTCTTCTACCGCGCCGACGGCGTGTCGCTCGTCGGCGCCGGCCTCATCGACGGCAAGGGCCAGAAATGGTGGGATCTTCCCTGCAAGCCTCACAAGGTATATAAGCTCAACTAATTAATTGCATCTCTACTCTTGCAATATTGGAGTACATATCTATCTGAATCTAATAGCTTTCCATTTTTTTTCCTTCTTTTTTTCTTCAGGGGGGAAACACTCATGGACCATGTGACAGCCCAGTGGTGAGTGGCCTAACGCAACGACCTTTTAACCGTATTAACTGCCTCTGATTAGTGACAGTGTAATCAGTGCTAAGTACGATGCTAATCTTTGCAGGCGATGCGGTTCGCCATCAGCAACAACGTGACGGTGCGAGGGCTCAAGGTGCAGAACAGCCCGGAGTTCCACTTCCGGTTCGACAACTGCAACGGCGTGCGCGTCGACGGCCTGTCCATCAGCTCGCCGGCGCTGAGCCCCAACACCGACGGCATCCACGTCGAGAACACCTCGGACGTCCTCATCACCAACACCGTCGTCTCCAACGGCGACGACTGCGTCTCCATCGGCGCCGGCACGCTCAACGTCCACATCGAGAACGTCACCTGCGGGCCCGGGCACGGCATCAGCATCGGCAGCCTGGGGAAGGCCGGGACCAAGGCGTGCGTGGCGAACGTGACGGTGCGGAACGCGGTGATCCGGCACTCGGACAACGGCGTGCGCATCAAGACGTGGCAGGGCGGGTCCGGCTCCGTGTCGGCGGTGGCGTTCGAGAACGTGAGGATGGACGCGGTGCGCAACCCCATCATCATCGACCAGTACTACTGCCTCTCCAAGAGCTGCGAGAACGAGACCACCGCCGTGTTCGTCAACGGCGTCTCCTACTCCGGCATCCGGGGCACCTACGACGTGCGCGGCCCGCCCATCCACTTCGGCTGCAGCGACGCCGTGCCGTGCACCAACATCACGCTCTCCGACGTCGAGCTGCTGCCGGCGTCCGGCGACACCGTCGACGAGCCCTTCTGCTGGAACGTCTACGGCAACGCCGCCACGCCCACCGTGCCGCCGGTGTCGTGCCTCAGCTCCGGCTTCCCCAACTACACCGAGAAAAAGGACCTCCAGTGTTACTGATGATGTGATGAGCATGCCTGAGATAGAGATCATCTCCGGTCATCCCTGCATGCAGCGACTTGTTTAATTAGAGGAAAAAAGAATTAAAAAAAAGAAGAGAGAGAAAGTAATTAAACTAGTGCAGATAAATTTAAAAGGAAGATTAAAAAGCTAGTAGCATGGAACTAAAGGATTAATTACTAGTGTATATAGAAAGACGAAAAATGTAATAGTAATATATGATTTGTGCGAGAACTAATGAAATATATGTAGAATGGTTTGCTTAATTATGTTTGCTCCATGGATCAAGCAGTACTGTTTGTCACATGCTTGCATGCGTGGCTGGTGTGACAGTGACAAACACATGTCGTACACAATATCATGTTTTTCCATAGAGATCTTGTTGAATTTTAGATTGGCAATTTGTGAGTTTGGTAATATATATGCTTAGTTATGCTAGCTGCAGAGGTTATGAAGTTTGATGTTTAAAAACAATTTAAGGTAGACTACTTCTTTGTCTTCTTAGCGATAATAAAAAGAGAGCTATGCAACGAAAGCTATAAAAAAAATCCTAAAATTAAATCTAAAATCAAACTCTAAAATTTCAACAACTATTTAATTGTCATTTAAGGAGTGGGAGGCGCATGAGGCCGCAATGCCTAGCAATTTGCTGAAGGCAGCAACATTACGCTCGATCTCAGATTATGGCAAGTTGCAATAATGGGTAGCTAGATGGCCTCATTGCCTCAAAGTTGAATCAAAAGTTTCGTACAACGTACTATTACAAAGCTAGGTGCCATTTAAATAATTAAGCGGCAGAAAACAAGAACACAAAGTTAAAGAAAAACTTTCAGGGCCCCCTCTGGGCTATACGGACGCACGCCAAATAACTTTCTGTCCTAATAATGCCATCCACAAGGCAGAATTTGACGACTCAAGACGACTTAAAAGGTGTCATCAACAGTAAACTAACTGTTTCTCCAAACATAAACCTTGTTTTTTACTACCATCAAGTGCTTCAGAGAGACGCATCTGATTTGTACGTACGCCATTATATTTTTCCCTGTTTGTGGAGATGGGCCAAGAAACAAGCATCACCTAACCAACTAAGAAATACCTGCTCAAACATGTTCTTTTGCAGCAAAAAAGGTAAAATAAAGCCGTGGATAGTGTTCTTGTGGGCGCAAATTAAAGCGGGAGAGAGCGAGAAGGGAGAGAGAGAATTGAAGCTATACCAATCGTCTCTGATGAGTCATAGCCAGTAACAGTTGGGCAGGCAAAAAAAAAAAAAACTAGAGGTGAGCATGAAGAATAAGTTGCATTTTACATCCATGATTGGTTCCATAATTAGGTTTGGTTCTGGCTGGAAATGGTAGTAGCTTACTAGGTAGGGCGGTAGTATATACGGTTGTGCACGAGCGACCACAGTTGAAGCTATAGCTTGCGCTGAATTAAGGGCTTGTTTAGTTGGCGAAAAGAAAATTTATGAGTGTCACATCATATGTTTGACTAGATGTTGAAAGGGTTTTTGGACACGAATAAAAAAACTAATTTCATAGCTCGCCTGAAAACCGCTAGACGAATCTTTTGAGCCTAATTAATCTGTTATTAGCACATGTGGGTTACTGTAATACTTATAGCTAATCATGGACTAATTAGGCTCAAAAGATTCGTCTCACGATTTCCCCACTAACTGTGCAATTAGTTTTTGTTTTTTTCTATATTTAATGTTCCATACATGTGTTCAAAGATTCGATGTGATGTTTTTGAGAAAAAAAATTTAGGAAACTAAGCCAGGTTTAAGTGGGATCAGGAAATGATCGATCGATCTGATCGGTGAGCTAGCGGCTGAGCTCTGGAGATGCATGGTTCAGAGTTGTGCGCCCAAGTAGAGGAACAGTAGTGTATCAGAGACCAGATACTCGTATCATTACGGAGCACTGAATTGGGTAGCAGAGCTAATGCACCACTGAGGTGACAATTCGCAGTTTATGTTTGTGGTGTACAAGTAAATTATTGCGAATCATCAATTCATCACCAACAAACCGCTCGTCATGGCCATGAGTCGTCCCCTGCTGCCGGCAATTCATCTGTGGTCTGTCAATTAATTAGATATAGTATTTGCCTTTGTGTGGTTGTAATCAACATAGATTTGCAGTCGAAGAAGCCGCTCGAATTGATTAATGATTTGATGAACTCCATCCGGTGATTATTGGAGCATAATTTGCTGCCGGGCCCGGACATCATCTGACGTCAGCGTACGTAACAAACCGGTTTTTGCATGAAGTAGTGCAAACCCACGATCTATACGAGCCACTAGCAATGACACTACGATCGACAAGATAGATACCGAAGCAGACAATTACAGTAGCTTAGCTAGTACATGTACAGTACTTTGTACTCCCTTCATTGATAAAAGTTACACCTATTTCACATTTAAATTTTTTCAAATAAGTTGTTCCTATTTGTAATCTTTATGAATTTAAAACTTAAATGAAGAGATAAATTAAATGTTTTATTAGAACCTCAAGGACTCATCTAAATACTCATTGGTTACATGCTTGCATTTACTACTTGATTTTGTAACATTCAAGGTGATTTAATTTCTTCTTGGTCTTGGTGTTAAAAGTAATGTGCTGGTTTGGTTTGAGACCTAAATTAGACTTACCAATATTTGACAATTTTAATAGTGTTTAGTATCTATTTGGTTTGAAGCCAAATTTTGGCATATCTAAGAAAATAGGCCATTTCAATAGTGAACTTAAGTTATTTTGGCTTCAATCCAAACACAACTTTGCCTTACCAAAATTAGTCATGCCAAAACTTGCCAAAATTTGGCACTGACAAAATTTGGTAAGGCCTATTTAGGCCACAAACCAAACCAACCCAATATGTATAACTTTTGTTGATCGAGGGAGTAATATGCATACTGCATTGGATGTATGGAATGTTCTTGCATTGGATGCATGGAATGTTTTGGTATCTTCGTTATGAACTGCCAGAATGCCAGGTTGGAATAGCAGCGCATGACACGTAGGCACTCAGGTCTCAGGAGACATCGACATGGACAGATCAGATAACCGGCCAAGAGCACTGGGAGAGTATAGGCATGCTATGCGAGAGGCGGCGGCACTCAATCTTGGAAGGAGCCCCGTCCCCGAGGCAATCTCCGACCGCCACTCACAATTCCCACCCAAACCGCATGTGCATGTGTATGATATGCTTGTAACTATGCATGTCTCAATCGAGGAGGTCGCACTCACCTGTGTAATCTTCGCATTTCGTCCTTTTGGAAAACTAATTTAACAAACTGATTTGTGAAACCTATCCCTGGAGATAAACCGGAGGTCAACTCTACATATAATTAATGTATTTTAGAATGTAATGTATATCAGTGTCAATTATTCTGACGGTGCAATTACAAATAGCTATGATAACATGGCAGGGTCAATGCAGACCTATAGATAGCCTTACTATCAACTTGAGATTTTTTTTCCGCGAACATAAAAAAACTTTACATGTTAATATATTAGAAAAAAATAGCATACATCTATAACACACCGAAGGGTGTGGGATGGGGAGGATTGAAAAAGCTACTTCATGGCTAGCCTAGACAGGATTGGTATATTAGCCTCCACCTATTGCCGTCCTTCTTGCAGAATCCGTCCCACTACTGTTGGCGGCACTTGTGACAGAACTCCGTTCAATGTTTATTTTACATGTGCCAGTTAACCAGAATGGCAAGGAAGTCGAAGCCCTTTCAGTCAAAGCTTCTATAAATGACATCCCAAGGTTTACCACCGTTCTCGTTCTAACCTGAGATCTTCAAAATGGTTGGTGCCAGCCTCGTTCTAGCAAGCCTAAATTAGATGACCATATATAAGTACAATATCATTTAATGCTTGTAAGATCGATATTTGAGCAAAATAAGATTAGCTTATTTAGCGGCAAGCTGCAAAAGCTCGGTGACAATGAAGACGGTGCTAAGACTTAGTACTTCTGCTTAGGTCAGACAGGGCGGGGCGATTCTCTTGGCCACGCCAGCAACTATATATAGCGGCTATTAAGACCGCGCCCCCGCGTCGTCCTCCCCCACAGGCGAAACGGGAGGCGGAAACCGCCGGCGTCGCCCGCTCCTCCCCCCTCCTCCCTCCGCCGCCTCGCCGCCGCCCGAGCGGTCGCCGGCAAAGCCGCGCGGCCGCAAGGACGGCGGCGGCGAGGCTTCACCCTCGTCTTCGTCTTCCTCTCCCATCGTGGTGGGGGGCCACGCGCGGGACGGTGAAGACCGCCTAGATCCGGGCCGCCGTGGCCGGATCTGGCGGGAAGGCCGCCGGTGGTGGGTCGGTGTGAGGTGGTGGCAGCAGTTGGTGGTGGTGGCGGCGGGGATGGAAGGTGGTGGGGTGGCGGCGGCAGTTGGTGGTGGCTGGCGCCGAGGAAGGCGACGACGGTGGCGGGGGAGGCGGCGACGGCGACAGGGATGGCGTGCGTGCTGGTGGCATGCTGCTTCTCTTGCTGGGGGCGTCGGCGGCGGGGTTGGAGATGGCGGCGGGGATGGAGGTGGCGGTGAGGTTGGCGACGGAGGCCGGATCTAGCGGTGAGGCTGGCATCGGCGACCGGATCCAGGCGCTGGAGATGGTTTTGCCTCGGTGGTGGTCGCGACGGCAGCGGAGAGCTCGGCGACGGCGTTGGGGCGGTTGCGTTGGCGGTGCCGGCGGTTTGCAATGACGACTGCTGGCGTCGTGGCTAGTAACAGCGGCATCAGCGACGGCGGCCGACTTGCAGCGGCCGTGACTGAGGAGACGGTGGCAACGTCGAAGGATGCGGCAGTGGAGGCGGGGAAGGAGTTGGGTGTGAGGTGACGGCGGCGACGGTGAGGTGGTGACCGTGACGGTGGTGGGAGGAGGCATGGCGGCCTCGGACGGCTTGCCGAGGGCGTGGCAGACGGTTGCATCGGCTAGCGCAGCATTGTTTGGAGGAGGGGTCGGAGACCGGCTGGACACAGAGTGGCGTAGCCGATGGCAGCGGAGGCCGGCTCGGCGCGAGAGGCGCGGGCGGCGGAGATGGAGGCCGGCTTGGCGCGAGAGGCGCAGCCGATGGAGGGAGGCCGGATTGGCGCGAGAGGCGCGTCCGGTGGAGGAGACCGGCTTGGCGCGAGAGGCGCGGCTGGTGGTGGAAGAGGCGACCTCGGTGCGTGGTGGAGCTGCCGGTGGGTGTGGCACGGTCTTCGGCGCACGAAGGCTGGCCGACGGGGGCGTCGGTGCAGGGCCACATGTCGGCAGAGTTTGAGTGG